TGGAAACTGCTGAACAGATTCTGTTGAAATTTGGCATTGGTGATTAGAGAATTTGGTCTGGCGAATCAAAATTTTTACTTCGTATCTGTCCATTGCAAGTCCTGATTTCACCTGAAGAGGAAAATATTTTTGTAACAATACGATTAATCGCGCGAAAAATTTCTGTACACTTAATTATTTAATACAACGTAACTTGTGTATTGTTCGAAAGTTTTAACGATGGTGGACATTTAACGAAATCAAATAAATAATACCTTATGATTTCATATGGCGTGAATGCCATTGTACTTGGTCTGTGAAAACTTAAGTTTCATTACTAATTATTTCGCTACGTTTCGAGCAAATTATTCATTGTTGACTAAGCGGGGAGGGGGATGAACATGAAATGCAATGAGAAGATGCGCCAATTTGGAACAGTTTTTCCTTCTGGTATCAACATGGTATAATCCTTTTATTTATCGTGCACTTGATTGTATATTTTTATAACAAAATTCTATGATTTTATGGGTTCAAGGTGAACATGGGTTACAAAGTAATACGTAGAACAGGGGTTATAATCGTATGGGCCGTATGTGGCCCATTCGATATATTTAGCGGCCCACATGCATTTATGTTATATTATGGCAATGTGTATGATCAAATGTGGTTATTTGATATCAGAAAATACCCTTGTTAACGTCGTCATCTGGTAGTACCTGTTGCTGTGGGCATTAGTTCAAATTAATGAGGAGCGTCACTGAAAAAGCAGGAAGTATTGGTCTCCAGTTGTAGAGAGGAATGTACGCGAATTGCAGAGACAGAAATTGAACTTATAGGTTATCGAAGTGGAAGCAGTGTAATTCCTTAAGCTTTAAACTTCATTATTCATCCTACCATTCAACGCGAATCACAACGGCGTTAAGTAATAAACAAATAAATGCAGTTTTTAATAAATTACCACTCTCCATTCTGTTAAAGTGAATCGACTTTTCTTTTTCCATTCATTAATGAGATTTTTATATTCTTTCTTATGTCTTCGTTTTTGCTGTTATCCGAATCGGCTTTTACATCTCTCTCGAGTCGCTTCCCCTGCTTGAATTTTAATAAAAATTGTTGGTTGTGTGGTATTTGAGGTTTTCACGGCGGTGTTCAAATTGTTTGTTGCCTTTCTAACACCAGTTTTCACTTAGATATCAGTGTTGTAACTACTGCGATATTATAAATTAAATCATTACAGAGCAATTTACGAATCCGGAATGTAGGTATACACACAAACAAGTACATATTTTGACAGGCATAATTACAGTCTGTCGCAAAAAGAAGTATTCACGCATTCAATGAATGAAATAAAGATATTTTAACGAACTAAACCATTACATACGTCAGCATTGACACTTTGTAAATTAGCGAATCTAGTGTAAGTGTTCGAAATGACCCCCGTTCGCTTCGTGGCGTAGTTGATAGCAACTGACTGACAAGCAAACAGATTTTGTGCTTCGTCTATTATTATTAATATATGGAAAGATCATTTTACATTATTTTCTATGTGCTGTATATAGACGTTTCTTTATCTCGTACTATATGCCTGTTTTGTATTACGTTGTGTTGTCCTAAGTCTTCTGTAATTGAAGAACTTCTTTCTATTGGAGACAAACAAGTGAATTACAATGATCAGTTAGTAGCTGTTTTACCCTGAGAAACTTACGAACCACTAATTCTTCCCAGTCCCATCTATTCACGGTTGTCGGTGATAATATTCTGCGTTGAAACGCCGTGTGGACGTGTAGGTAGATACCAACGTTTTGGTGAAATATACTGTTTCCACCTTTGGGGGTGAAGTTGATAGAGGGAGTGTTCCTCCGAAACATTTGTATCTACCGAGAAGTCTAGACGGCGTAAAACCCATAGTACCAACATCGACATCTCAACCGCCGTGAGAACGCTCGTCATCATCGACAGAGGTTCGGTCATTTTTAAAACGTGAATGCCACACAAAAGTTTGTGCACGACCCATTGCGGACTCCCCAAATGCTTGCTTTAGCATTTCATAGGTTTCCGTAGCCGTTTTGGCGAGTCTTTTGGCAAAATTTGATGCACACGCCATTCCGAAATCGCAGGAGGGTCGGTGTAATGCACTACCAAAACGCCAGCAACTAAGAAACAAATGCTAATTAGATGATGCCGGCTGGCACACTGATTCACTATGAATGTAGGCCGCATCCCCTAAAGGCAGAAGCTCGTACTACATCCGGTTCGCCCTCTATTGACACAGTCTTGAAACTTTCCGATCGCACCTCGTACATTCTGTAGGCAAAATACAGAGTTATATAGGTTAAGGTAGGTGTGTTAAAGCGCGTGGTACATATTTTTACCACTGGGTTCTAGAGTTTAAAATGTAACCAGAAGGCGTATATGTGCAAGTGAAGGTAAGATAGTAAAGGTAAACATGTCCCTATGCTTAGTTCAGAGATGTGTGGTGGAGTGGAGGATTAGCTTCACACTTCGGCTGCCTTATCCCCAGGGAATAAGCACCCGATCTTCATTTGTTTAGGGTTGGACGAGCGGCCGAGTAGTATCTGTGATGGAAGCTTCCTTAAAGATAAAAATCAAGTTAGTTGGTATTTGTGTACACTGCGAAGCACTATAAAGATTTTGAAATATGTTGAAGGGCTGGGAACTTGGCGACGGGATGTTTTGAAGTGTGCGTCATGACAAGTGTCTTATTGTGTTGACTGTTCCATCCCTCTCCAATATCGGAAACCCTTTATGAACCCACCCACTTAGAACGCAAGGGGGAAGATCTTTCGGAATGATGCGGCAGAAATGACACAAGAGAAAGAATATCTCTTATTATTATAACAAAATTCTGTAAATTAGTTTCAGTTACGTGAAGGGCTAGCCGCCATGACAGTTGGAGCGTGTCAGCAAATGATTAAGGGTGTTTCCGGTAGATGTCACTCTCTTAGCTAGATAACAAATAAAAAAAACCTCCCCCCCCCCCCCCCCTCTCAAGTCTCTCTGCTATGCCATTCAATTTAAGAATGGGATCTGAGAGGCAAAAGATAAAAAAAAATGAAGAACGAAGTGTTTACTCAGAGGGAGATACAGCAAGTGTCGACTGGAGAGGTCTCGGGTTCGTGGGGGATTCTTTCTCTTTCATCATTTCTTTTTGTGTTGTTTATACAGGGTGTGCAAAGGATTGATGTTGGATGAGACCGCATCCAGAAGGAACAACAGAACTTTGACTGCCTGGCTTTGGTTTTACCGAATTTTCTCACGGAATATTTGTAAGGTTACAAGATCAAAAAATTAATACTTCCTGTAAGTGATATTGCTCAAGGGGACTTCATTAGCCTTCTAAACACAGTGGTGCCTATGTGTACCATCTTCTTCAACACATACGAACCCTGAATTAATATGTTTTGTATGATTCCCTCAATAAAATGGTTTATTTAAGAAATAGCATTAACCAATTTTTATTTGTGATGGAGACGCATTGTGGGATTTGAGGTACTCACGCCTGTGAAGATGACGATAGATACCAACATTTTACAGGAACACACTGTCTTCATCTTCAGGGCAGACGCGTTGAGATTTTTATTGAGGCAGGAACTTAAGTTTTAGATAAAATTGAAATTATCTTCGTGCTTTCAAGGGCCATTGATCTTTCTTTTCCTTCTGGCGTCGGTAATTCAAAAAGACTATACATAATTTTATTGATCTTTCTTTTCCTTCTGGCGTCGGCAATTCAAAAATAAATAATTATGGTTTACACAATTTAGGATTTTATTACGCAGTACTGACCTATATTATTTTAATTACGTATATTTGTGTAATGTCTTCAAAGACTTACTGATATATGGAAAGGCTGAGAAAGAAATAAGGGAATAAGGATGAAGATAGATAATGGTACAAAAGGTTTAAACGAAAGGAATGGAGTGGGTGAAGGATAAAATATTACCGTCCTATAATCAATAAAAATATGTGCCTAAACATTGCATCAGGTATTTGATATTTTTCGTGTGAGATTTTAAGTCGCGCTGTGTTGTTCACGTGATGCGTTTTGAATGTGGCGTCTTTGTTATCTTTAATTTGACTCTTTCTTTTTCCGCGAATCTTTTTTTTGTACCGAGTATTTAAGAGTTATTATTTTAAGTTTGTGGGCGCGTCTTGGCGGTATTTCTAACCTCAGCTGATATCTGTCATCAGAGCCATCTATCCTCGGCGGAAATGAGACTCCAGTCTTCATTTGCCTTCCCTCTTGCCTACAAAAAAAGTCGGAGAAAAATATGTTTCGTTTTAAATTTATTGTTGGGGTATTTTATATTCAGTTAATTTAACTTGGTGTAATATGAAGAGTGACATATAGTTAGATTCTATGCTGTGGCATTCATTTGTCAAAACGTACAGCGGACTGGTTTTCATTGTTCGAAATTATTAGTTGAAGAGGCGTTTCGTACAAACAAAAGAACGGTAAATAGCAGACAGTCTACGTTTGATATAATGGTCAATGTTCGTCAGGGTTCATAGAACGATACGGACAACTGTTTTATTTGCTTGGATTATACAGTGTTGGTTGATGGGCTAATTAGTGAATAATTAATTGGAGAAGGAGGTATATGAAAGCGGCCATTGAATAATTTAAGGCGACATTTGCCTGGAAGGACCGATAAACGCCACCTAAACCCCCCAGAAAGGATAAAGAGATTTGAATCGCCGTGGACTTTTACAAATTACGAAGCAGGACTACTAACCATGCGACAGTTACGTTCCGTTCGTGTGTCTATCTACATGTTATTGTCTGTTCAACATAACACCATTAAAAAAAATCATGGATTTTCATATAACTATACAAACATGTCACAGAAGGCGACTTCACCTTTGTTGTATACGTTTTAATTTGCTACCGCCTGTGTTTATAAGACGAGATCGCAAACAGTTAACCAGTCTGACAACACGAGAACCGGTTTGAACGTCTCACACGTGACACACGCTTAGTTAGATTCTGTTATCAACAGTTGGCAAGAGACAGTCTTTAATCGACCATCTACCTAACCTCACTTCTGTTTTTATCGATATGTTTGTTTCTTCATTTGTTGAAACATTAGTCTGTGACCGTTATCTGTGACAACAGCTGAGAGGAAAATGTCGGCATGTAGAAAGCGGCTTGTAATAAGTGAGGAAAATGTTATGAGTTTTATAGACCGAACGTTGAATATATAGTGCTGATTATTGTGAATATGATTATGAATGTAGTATATATTATGTGTTAATATTGAAACTATGTGTGGTGGTGTCTCGTGTGAACTTGCGAAGAGGGACCAAGCAACATGAAACACGTACAAACTACGCGAGACATGGTAATGTAGAACACTTATTATGAGTAGTGATAGAAATTGAAGTTTGTTTACTATTTAGCCTGAACACTAAAAATGGGTGAAAGATGTAATTCAATATCCTCTTATATTTAATTCAGCAGTTGTCACATTCTTCGTGTATCTAAGGTAGTGCTATCAACTAAAGGCCTCCAATTAACCCCCAACATGGAGGACCACGCACGAGCCGAAATTCTGTTTATTCCAGCCCGAATGAAGTCCGATCTATTTGCCACCTGTCCCGACCGTCATATGCCTACTCTTTAATGCATGTATGTAAGTAATAGTTGAATGACGCTCTGAAAAAATTTGAGCTTAGTTCGGCGTTTGAGGAAAGGCACACACATATCGGATGCCAAGTTAAGTCGGTGGATTTTTTGTTGTTGTCAGAGTCCGACTGCTTCATGAGTATACGGTGAGTGTAAATATAACAACTATTTATTTGGAAAAAAAAAGATGGTTTGAGAAAGCTTAAAATGTTTCATTAAACGTTTGATTGCTATAATTTGAAACAGACCCCGAAACCGAACCTCTGAAATATTGATAAACTTCTGCACGGCCCCACAAGTCACAAGACAGTCATTTTCTCACTCAATACCGTGGGAACCTCAAGTCCTACGTATGTGCCCACTATCCTAGCTACTTGTTCAGCAAATCGCAGTCTCTACATTTCTCTGTCGTCATCAAATGATGTGACCGGTCTAAATAATTACAAAGTTCTCCGACTATAAAACTTTTTTTTACATTTTATCCTTTCTAGGTCTAAATATGGGTCCGCAGTGGCGTCTGCCCTTGGGCCCTCTGCCGCTTGGTCGCTGGGACCGTGGGTTCGGATCCCACTCAAGCCATTGATGTCTGTCCGCGTTTTTCTGTGTTGTGCTGTCCTGTGTACAGGTAGAGGCCTTGCGACGGGCCGATCCCTCGTCCAAGGAGTCCTACCAAAATGTCTATAGATCAAGCCAACGAAAAGTTGGGACCCGCAGTGCTCAGGAACTTTAAGAACGGGTCGTTCCCAGTATCCAGTAACCCAGGTCTAAATATTTTCCTCATTACCTTGTTTGGAACTATTACTAACTCTATTACTATTACTAATGTATATTGAATATTATCCAACGTTTCGATAAATAAAATTGCCAATCTTCAGGGTAAATGTATATGTTTTGGGTATTTTTCTTAATTTGTTACAATCCAGTCTCCACCTACCACCCAAAATAGTGCAATTTGGATTCTCAGAATGTAGATTGTGTAAGATGTAATCCCAAAGAGTGGAGTCCTTGATACACTAATAGTCGCTTAGCTAGTCAAGAATTACACTATCATTTATGTAAACAGAGGGCTCAGTGTCTTATGAATCCAGTCCACAAAAACCCAACTTTTACCTTCTGATAATATTAAATTAATTTTTCTGCGTTTACGTAATTTTTGTTTCAGAAGGTTAATTGTGGGTCCCGATTTGACGAAGCCTAATATAATACTCCTCAAAACAATTAAGGGGTAAAGTTTTCAAATGGTTATAAAGTTTCTTGGACTAAATCTGAAATCAGCTCACTCTGCAGGGTTGTAAACAAGGCCGATACGAGTGCAATTGTGAAAGGTGGGATCAGTTACAGTTGGTTATTTCAGGGAGAGAAGCCTACGAGAGAAAGGTTAGTGAAAACAGGAATGAAATAGAGCAGTGCGTGTATTTGTTATTGACGATATAGGAATACCGTTGCTATGCAGCGCAATGTGCAAGTTATGCAAGGTGTAAGGAGGCATTTGACAGCAATAGAAACAACACAGGCTGTCACACTTCTGCAAGAGGGCCGAACACAACGGCATGTTGCCGGACAGCTCGGTGTGGTTCAATCCGTGATGTGGCGACTAAGCCGCCGATACCAAGACACTGGAACGGTCATTCGACGTCGAGGACAGGGTCGTTACAGGGCAACAACTGCTAGGGATGATCGTTTTCTGCGTCTACAGGCCTTGAGGCACCGCAGAGATACTGCACGGGCCTTGTAAAATGACCTTTCCCGAGCTAATTGTCGACAAGTGTCTGACCAAACAGTGAGAAACCGTCTTTGAGAGGTGGATATGAGGTCCAGGCGTCCAGCTAGAGTGCCCCGTTTGACGAGAAAGCATAAACGAGCGCGATAAGTTCGCCCAAGAACATCAACATTGGCAACTGCGTCATTATCGCAATGTCTTTTTCACCGACGAGTCTAGATTTATGCTGCAGGGCAACAGTGGACGCGTCCGAGTTTGGCGACGGCCAGTAGAGCGTTTTCTACCAGCCACAGTCCAGGAAAATGTCAGTTTTGGTGGTGGCTCCATAATGGTGTGGGCCGGTATTTCGATTGACGACAAAACCAACCTCGTCCGTCATGAGAACTGCCCGGCGTTACATTCACGAGGTGCTGGAACCTCATGTGTATCCTCGTGCATCGGCATTTGGAGAAAATGTTCTCCTAATGCATGCTGATGCCCGGCCTCACGTTGCAGCAATCGTCAGCGAGTATCTCTAAGAGCTCAACATCGCCATTTTACCATGGCCAACTCGCAGCCAAGACATGAACCCTATTGAGCATGTGTGGCACGTACTGGGAAGACGTGTCAGAGACCGTCCGAATGCACCTACCACACTGTGGGCCCTGTTTTGGAGGAATTGGGCGCAAATTCCCCAAATCGACATCCGGAGAATGCCTCGACGCTGTACCGCTGTCCTTCGAGTAGAAGGGGGTCCAAACGCCTAATAAGCGTAAACAAAGCTTGAAATTGTGTCACAAAATCTTGATGAGCATACAACTTCCATTCCTTTTTGTGATTAGTTCAAAACTGTTTAGTGTAACAATACTTTAGTTGTGTTTGCTATTACAAAGAGGCCTGTTTTTGTTTAAATAAAGGTCTATTTTCTAAACTACCAACATTTTAATAAATTTGACAAATCCCAAGAAAATTTACGACCATATGGAATCCTGGCCCCTTAATTGTTTTGAGGAGTGTATAATATTTCCTACCATGATTCTTATAAACGTTGTCGTTTAATTACGCTGTTTCAGCTGTACAGTTTTACAGCATCTAATGATATGGGATCATGAAATGATTTGTTGTTCACGTCATTCTTTGGATCTTTTGGTGTTGTGTTTCATGTGGGTGTTTTGTATATATAGTAAACGAGACGTCATATTTAAAATGGCTGCCAATTACAGTCCTTCTATAAATGCTTTTTGTTTTAAGTAACGATGGAAGTTCATAATGTCTGAGACGTGACATTGGAAAGGAAATTTTCCGGTAGACCAAACTGGTTGACGTAAGAGACAGAAGTCATGCGTAGACCTTACAGAACAATCAAAATGTCGCCCAACCTCCTAAATTGATGTTTGGGGATCCGGTACAGTTAGTTCAGTTTACAGCTTCGTGGTTCCTCTTGATTCAGAGTGAAAAAAACAGGGAAACCTTGTTGTAGCGGGGCTTAAGACCGCGGGTTGATTCCCGGTAGGGTTGCGTCGGTTGGTCACGTTCAGCTTCCGATACTTCCTTGAGTAATGCGTAATGCAATGCCCGTTGAATATCGTACGTCTTTGTGGCGTGGTGCTTAATTGAGAACAGCAACTTTCATATTATAACAGAATTTCAAAATGTAAAAAGAAATAAATAAATAAAAAAGTCTGACACGAATTTGTTTTTGGAACTCACAGAATATTTATCACGGGCTTCTGACTGGTCCTTATTTGTTTCTAAAAGAGCGGGGATTTTCTGCAAGGCGCTACATGACGACTCTTTTAATCGTTTCAAGTAAAATAAAGACGTAAGATATATTTCAGGAACTACGATGTGAAACTGGTACCAAGTAATTACCTTTCTTTATTTTTAGACCAGATCGTCATTACGGTGAACACAAATTTCCATTTCACTGAAATATCGTTATATGAATGTTTATAAAATTCTGGGTCGTTCAACTTTCTACGTGAGCAGAGCATTAATACATAGTCCTTCTGTTAGGTGCGTCATTGCTGTTAATGACATCTGATGATTTCTGGAAATTTTTTGGCAAAAAATTGTCTCCTTTGAGGTCACTTTCTGACTCCGAGAAAGTGGTTAGAGTGATTATACTGTAAATATGGACTGACAACAATGGCCAGCTTGTATGCATTGTTGTGTTATCTAGGAAACGTCATCTGTTTGCTGGGCATTTTTTTTGTTATATTATTGCCGTCAACAATCCGCTTTCGTTATTGGGGAAAGAGCTGAGCTGTGAATCGCTTTTAGAAGAAGTGCTTCTTAGAGTAGATAATTTTGTGCTGGTAAAAACGTTTTACAATATCACAGGTACTTATATTATATAAGAATTATTACATTACATATCATTACATTCAGCTACCACAGACCCATCTTAAGCGTAACTAATTAAAGTTAAATAATCAATGTCTTAATCAAACTATTTACTTAATTGTAAAGCATGTATAAAGGGAATATTTAGCATAAAGCTAATATATAAACTTCCTTTCATTGCATTTATTGCTTAAATATAATTTAAATACATAGGCGTATTTACGTCAGATTCTCCAGAACCGTGGTTCCACTGACAATTTTATTTTACGTTTTACTGTTCTGTGTTTCTGTTGAGTGAGTGTGTTAAAACAAAGAACTGAATTTTCCTACTATTAGTCGTCCTGGGACAGATCAGGGATCACATACCAGACGAAACAGAAGAAGGAAAGTTGCCAGCATTTTGACCCTCTGTAGCTCCTCGAATGTGTGTGTGTGTGTGTGTGTTGGGGCGGGGGGGTTGGCATCGCGTGGTCTGTGAAACTTGGACCTGCCAGACAATCACTCAGCTCCGTGACGTTTACATCAGACCAACGAAATTCTAGCTGCTAAGAACTTCCTGCTTTCGTTTTATGGTTCTGCTCTCTCTATGAATTTAAAAAATAAATTTTGTTTGCCACTAATCCAGTATCAGAGGGCGACATAAATTTTGTTTTCAAAAATAAATGAGTGTG